ACTTTTTATCTAGCGCCACCAACAGGCAAAGCTTTAACTTATCCAGTGAATTATCTCTATAATTATACAGGCAGTCATGGTTCCCAGATGATGAATCCTACTGACTTTGGTGAACTCCTGATTTTACTCTAGTGCCACCATGAGGTTCACATTTGTTTTGAGTGAAATGTCCTGACAACTATTGGATGGACTGACTGGACTTCAGCTATACTTTGCATTTAGTGCTAATACGCAATTGTAACCATGCTAATATGGTGATCATGGAAAAACATTATGCCTGTTAAACATCAGCATTTTAGCATGGTGACATCAGTATCTACCCTTCAGACACCACGCAGCTGAACAGATAGTGAAATTAGTCCCTGTTTACACACGGCATTAACATGCATTTGTGATTGGACCACCCAAAGTGCATGTTGATGTCAGGTGTAAACAGGGCGTGGGTTAGTGTTACCTGGGCACATGGTTGATGAGAGCTTGAGGTCTGTATTGAGGAAAGAGGTAAGACCTAAACTCCTCATTACTACTGGTACCAGGCCAAGTCTCTTCTGTTGGAGTACCTGGAATACAAAGAAATGAAATATATCGTCTGCTGTCACAGGGCACTGTCACTTATTTTACTCTAGGATATTATCATAACGTGCAGCTATCTTACCCATGAGCCTAAAAATTAGGTGTAGCTCCTCCTTGATTGTGGCACCAGGAAACATGGGACGACCTGTTGCCATCTCATACAGGATACAGCCCACGCCCCTGGAGGAGGAGGGAGGAAATGAAGATACAGTAGGTGGAGGAAGAGCAAACAACAAAGAGTCATCCAACATTATAGAAGTCTAGGTGAGGCTGTGTTCAACAAACACACACACACACACCCACACACACACACACACACACTTACACACACTTCAAAGAGAGCTGATCATAAGTGCAAACATGTATGGTGTAAGTGGGCACAGTGCAGTCTTTTGTTCCATCCAGGATGGTGTGTTGGAGAGGCGCCCTGTGGCGTGATGAGAGGATATGTAGCTAGGTGAGCTCATAAAAGGCTGGCGTGTTGCTAGAGAGCCACATTTAATCCTCTGTGGTTTACTGAAACTGTGAGGGTTTTCTCACCATGGCAAACTGCTAATGAGCAAAAACACAAAAGGAGAGTGAATGCAGATGAATTACGCTTCATTGTATGGCTAGTGACTCATATCTCTGCTAATAACCTGGGAGATTTGAATAGATATGCATGATTCATGGAAATCCTGGACGATCCTCAAGCTGTTAGACATTCATCTAATTTACCAAGTAAAAAAAGCACAGCTCCTTACCAGGGATAACATTTGTGTTTTAGGTGCCCTGTGTGCATTGGGGAGTTCAGCTTAAAACAAAAAAACAGGTGTACTGGCCCACTGGTGGGAGTCAGCAGTACTGCCAAATGGTTAAATTTAATTGATTTAAGGTCCAGTGTGTAACATTTAGGGGGATCTATTGGCAGAAATGGAAGCACTGTATCTACCATCTACTATCTACTACTATTGATTGACAGATGAATGTCATATTATTATTAATTGAAATTGGTTATTTCATGCTTACTTGAGCACACGTCACATTTTGTTTGACAGAGTTAAAATGACATTTTTCATTTTACCTGGACTTACATAATAAGAAAATTATAATCTTTTTGGTAATTTACAAAGCTTATCTAAATGTGCAATAAATACTGAACCAATCATGACACATCATTAGGTTTTGCCACTGTCAGCTCCATGCGTTCCCTTGCATGCAGGGACACAAGATGGATTGTTTTTTAAATGAAAAAGTGATGTGGTAGACTACCTGTGCCAGTAAAAGCTCTTGGTAAAAGCTTGTGGTGAGGAAATGTGACCCTGATTGCATTCAGTTTTGATTAAAAATAGCAGACAGTGATGCTGAGCTGATAGCACAGTGTGTTGAATGTTGTGAAATCCTACCAAATGAGGCGCTAAAACCATCAAAGCTTCAGAGACACTTAAACACAAAGCACTCGGGATGTGTTGGGAAAGAAAAGGGACTGGCTACAGGGACAACAGAAAGTCATCACAACATTAACAATAGGGCTGTACAATTGAAATATTATCGAAATCGCAAGGCCAAGTGCAATATGCCGCTGTAGTTTTTTTTAATAAATCATGAAATGTGTGAAAAAGCAGCATTATAATTAAGTACTGTAGTGCTGCAGAGATGCCCTGGTCTACAAATCTCTCCAGACTTAAGAAAACATGTTGGTACAGAACCCCCAAAATTTAACCTGACAAAATAATTGCAATATAATGTTTTTACCATGTCATGCAGCCCTGATTAAGTCAAAAGCCTCTTTGATAGCTAGCTATATGGTATATATTAATTTCGGTCAAGACTTCTCCTTTTGTTGTATAATTTATTTGTAAAGATGGTCCTCAGTTTTGTTTTTTTTTCAACAATCAGATGTGGGCCTTAAGTTATAAAAGGTTGAAGCCTGGTCTATGTGGTCCTTTCAACCCATTTGTTCTCAGTTTCTCTGGGTCAGATGAGATGATTAATACTACCAGCATATTCCCAAAAGTAAAAAAAAAAAAAAGGTCTACACATATGGGCCTTTAGATCTTACTAAGACTTTCAAACTAATATGCTTGTTTAAAAACATCAATATAACACAGTACATCCAACAATACAAAAGCAATACACATGTGGCAACACTTAGCCCAGACCCAGGGCTGTCATACTATGTGTCACAGTCCTGAATAACCATCTCATGTAACTCAAACTATGGTAGGCAATCTTCTTAGCAACTTATAAGATTTGTAAAATTATACTCTCCAACCAAAAAAAAGTTCATTGTAAACCGAGTAAACTCAAAAATGGCAAGATTTCTTCCTTGCCCCCCCGACCAGTGTGGTCAGTCAGCTCATTAGTGTTACTCTAATATGCCCTCCACCAGTGGCTGATGAGCAACACCCCAGTCAGTGAGCAAGGAGTTGTAGTGTTAATGGGGTTGTTTTTATCTACTTTATAAGTTGTTAAGAAGATTGCACACCATCTGGTGAGTTCACATTTTCAAAATTTTTCCCATTACAAACTCTATGAGGAACTCAGTGTCTTAAATGTCTAAGTTACAGACATAGCGATCAGGGCAGCAATGTGTCTCTTTTGGATTTTGTGTATTTTAATTGATCCAAACACAAAATTCTCTCTAAAATACGTACAATCAGTTGATCCTGAAAGGGTCCCTGACAGGGTTCCCACTCTTTTTAAGAATTATTTTTCCAGGAGATTTTTCAGGAGTTTTTCTTGACATTACAGATGCTCCAAATGGTCATATAATTTACAGATAGGCCTAGTATTGACAAATGTAACACATTTTCATTCAGCCTTTTTTAAGGTTGCAGGGTTCATGATAAAGCATCTCAGCTTCATTACAGCTAGGTGCACAGCACTTATCGGACATTTGTGTTACCTGTGTGTTAAATCTTTGTGTTCCCATGTTTCTTGGTCAATTCTATTTAATTTTCTTCACAGAAATGAACAAAATTCTGTACTCACCACATGTCGATGGGTGTGGAGTATTCTGTAGAGCCCAGCAGCACATCAGGGGGTCGATACCATAGAGTTACCACCTCATTAGAGTAGGTCTTAGTGGGAACGGACTTGGCCCTTGCCAAACCTGGACAACACAAAATGGTCAAGATTTTAACAATGTGAGTCAGAAGGGCTTTCATAAGGCTATTTTAGCGAGCCTGCTCTTTGTGCAAACATTCAACCTCTTTCACTTTGCCTTTGTACCACAGTTTCCTCTAAATGTCAAGTATTTTGTGTCTCCACAGGTGTAGAATGAAACAGTAGGATGCAATAAGTCTCATATAGTCCCTCTATCAGCGCATATGCCGTTTTTAGTTAAAACAGGTAAAAAATAGGGGAATACCGGTGGGTTTATCAACCCATATCCAGCACAAAATTGAGAAAATTCAGAGAGAGGGGCACAGTTGCTAGGATACAGGAAGTAAGGGTGCTAAAGTAATCAGGAAAGGAGATCTCCGAGTGGCAGTAAAATATAATTGGAAAGCGATTGTGGCAGGAAATGTGCTATCCTATTCCCAAGAGTCTGTGGCTTTACGACCACATTTGCATTTGTTGATGTCTGTATACGCCGCATGTGAGCGCACGGCTGTTTTTCTTACCAAAGTCGGCCAGTTTGAGCTCGCCCTTGTCGTTGATGAGCAGGTTCTGAGGCTTTAGGTCTCTGTGGAGGATTTTCCTCTTGTGACAGTAGGAAAGACCACGCAGCAGCTGGAACATGAAGATCTGTAGTAGAAAAATGGAAATTGGAAAATGAAGATCAAACATTAGACATCTGTATATGTGATTATAATGGGACATGGATTTTAAAACTACTGTAGGTTCCATAGTTGGGAATAAACCTGTAACCTATGACCTTTATTGCCCTCCATCAAGAAAGGAACAGAATTTGTCTCCTCCTATTCAAGTCTCCCCTTAACCCTCTGACTCCTCCTGTTGCCTTAGGCCTGCAACTGATACAATGAAATACATTCACATTCTCAATTTTGGGGAGTAACTCGTGGAATAACAGCAGAAATCCAACATAATCATAGAATAAAAATGTAATATATATCACTCAGTCCCAGTTTGTGCTTGTCATTACAGCCTACACATGGCAAAAAACACAGAGGGTCATTAAACACAGCTGTTCTGAAGGGTTTTCCCAGAATCCCTTAGAGACTCTTATAAGAATGTAACCATATAACAATTTTCCAAACCCAAACAAAGATGGTAGCTGGAAGTGACATGTGTCCTTGCTTAGTTTGTGTGATAAGTACATTTTATTATCAGTTATATTAGTATACACTGATTTTTATTTCCAGTATTTTATATTTCAACACAAATTATACCAATAGTTGCGTGAATACTCAATTCTGATTGGCTGCTGGGTGTTCAGTGATGTAGGATAACAACTAAGTAGTTGCAGTGAAACTGTACACAGTTCTAAATTAATGTGCTAACATAAACTGAATGAAAATAAAATCTGTATATATCATAATATATATACCTTATAACACTTATTGTTTGTCAATCATACGCAGTGTTATTGACTTTGAATCATGCTAGCATAACGTTAGCACTCTGGTTCAGAGCTGAGCGTCTGAGTGTCTCTGAGCGGAGGGAACAAGAAATATCTCCAGTTGCCAACTTGTGTCTGTGGTTCATCCTATTTACTGGAGTAGTGAACAACATTTCCATTACATTAGAACATTATGGGATGGTAATGATTCTTCCAGATATTAGGAAGGACCTCAGGTGTGAAACAGAATTGCTTGAATCTGAAAATACCAGAACAGTAAGTATTGTTAAACAACCATCTGGGGTTTTCACCATGTTTTTATTTTATTTTATTTTTTTCAGAAAATCAGATGCTTGGCTGCGTGACTGACATGTAATGGTAAACCGGGACTGCCCTGTCATTCTATTTAGATTTGTGCACATGTGTGAAGTAATGATTTTGTGTGAATTAATTTGATTGATTAAATTCCAGGACTCCATGGCTACCATGCAAAATTAATTCTGCTTCATTATTTGCTTTTTGGCTTCAAAATGAGCAGCTGCAAATGCTGGGTCTGTGTATGTGTGGTGGCGAGGGACTAGAGGAGTGTTTAAAATAAAAACTCCCTATTAAATGACTAAATTAATTCATTTCAATGAAAGCCAACGTGATATGGGTTAAAATGATGTCTTTGCACATATGTAAAGTGTCCCTCTGGTATACAGTGAGACATCTAATGCTGCTGCTGAGTCATCTTCACGCCGTCGGCTCACCTTGACGTTATGCATGCTCATGAGATTCCCACAGTTGTCCAGGTACTGTTTAAGATCACTGTCCTGGAAGACACAACAGACACAGTGTTCACACTCACACCTATCCACATTCCACTCATGTAACTGAGGTCGACATCTTCTGAGTGGCTGCATGCTGAACTGTCCATGTACTCACAAGATACTCAAACACCAGAGTGAGGCAGCGTTCGGTGTGGATGATGTCGTGCAGCGTGACGATGTTGGCGTGTTTGAGGTTCTTCAGTAGAGACACTGTGTGGACAGAGAAAGGAGAGATGAGTTGTGCTGTTTATCTAAAATGTGCCTCCAGAACGACAACATCAACAGTAGAAACTATGGCAAAACAATCAGAACACCCCAGAACATACTTTTAAGTTTTTTCATTTCAACTTTTGTAGTATTTTCATAGTATTATGTTCTTGAATTCATTTATAGAATAAAATATATATATATATATTTCAGAGATTCTTCTGTATACCACTAGAGGCAGCTCGCGTACCACCAGTGGTACACACACCATAATTTGACAATTTGTCCTTGAGAAATCACTTAAATCTAGAGATCATTGTCTGAGGCCTACCTTAAACCGTAAACCAGTTCCATACTAATATATCAATTGACTTTAAAATGTCAGTGAAACTTAATAAAGAGATGGAAAAATGTTTTTCCAAAAATCTGGTTCTAAAAATGGTTATTTGTTGTTGTTTTCAGAGGTGTTCCTGGAGGTGTTTTAATTTTTTGTTCCAGCTCAGTAGTTCCTCCATTTATGCATTGCACTGCAGGACTAAAGTGTCTATCAACAGCACACTCACAAATCAAGGTGCTCTATTTATTCACACTGACTGTTTTATATCTTACTTATATATTTTTTCAGTATGGATTTGGGATACAGATTAGCTCTAACAGAGGTTTAAGGTGAAAAGGGTCGGAATTAGGGCAGGTGCTATTTGCTATGCATGCTAGATTCATACAGTTTTATTACTCCACAGTGCAGAAACCTTTGTGATTTCTCTTTGACAGCAACCTCTCATTGAACAGCCACATAAAATACAGTCATACAGTCATGCTTTTTTTTCAACTAAGGAAAATCTGCAAGATTAAGCCATTTCTCTCAACCAAAAATCTGGAAACAGTCAGTCATTCATGCTTTTTATTCATCTCGCCTAGATTACTGCAACTCCCCTTTCTCTGTGTGCAGCAATTAGTCCCCCTCCTCCCTACAACTGATTCAAAATGCAGCCACCAGGATTTTAACAGGTACCAGAAAAAGAGAACACCCTTTTAATCTCTGCACTGACTGCCTGTAGAGTGGATTTAGAAATTTTAATGATCACTTTTAAGGCAAAAGTAATAATCCAAGTGTGATGAGATTAAGGTGTAACTATGAACTATGTATCAATTAATGCAACAGCACATGTCAAGTTTAGTAGTAGTTTAGTAGTAAAGTTTTAGCAAATATGACAAAAAGTTCATTTTGTAAAAATCTGCTTTAAAAGTATTTTTTTTTTGTGATAACCAAAGGTGCAGTTAGATTAAAATCAATAAAACACAGAGCACAAGGCAAGTCCACCATATGTCCGTAATAAGTGACACAGCAACAATCCCCCACAAGTGAATGTACATTAGGCTATATTTAAGACAAAGTGGCAAATTAAAATGTGCTTCAGTCACTTCCTTGTAGTACGACTTGCCCTTAAATGGAATCATTATCCACCGAGGGCAGCACTCCTGGACTGGGAAATATGTATGTGTGTGTGTGTGTGTGTACCTTCTCTGATAGCTGTGCAAGGTGCCCCCTCCTCGTGCTCCAGCCGAATCTCTTTTAACGCCACCAGGTTCTCTGTTAGTTTGCTTCGCCCTTTGAACACTGTGGCATACGTCCCCTGTGAACACAAACACACACACAAACTCACACACACAACTCTGTTGACACTGATGATTCGATATTCTGAAGAACTGTTATACAAAAGCCAGTAGGTTTGTCTTTTTTCTATTATTAGCAATAGATTAATGAAGTTACTATGAATCTGTTTACTTTCACTGTCTGTTTACTTTTTCATCCATAGCACATAAATATAAAGTATTGCAGTAGATAAGTAATTCCATCTGACTGAATGAGGTTAGAAGTTTTAACCGCTATCATCCATGAGCAGCATCAAAACATTACATCAACATAATGCAAGCGTCTCGAGCTGGCTTTGATTTAATCCATTAATTAAGTGCATATTTATTTCTTTGGGATCTGATTATTGGGATTTCTCGTTTACTGACTATGACAGCACATCTTCCTAACTCATGATTATCCTTCTTATATTCTGTCCTTCCAATGCTGACAATTCTTCTATCATTATGTTGTTGATTGTTCTAATAAGTGAGCAGATCCACTACTGCAGGCTGAAAAGAGAGCAAATCTTTTCAGGTATTGAGAAAAAGAACATTAATAAATGGGATACTTGTATAATGGCAACATGCGCAAATCCCAAAAAAAATTGACAACAACAGCAGCTCTTTTCGATCATTTAACGGTGCTGTTATCTGCTGCCGAGCCTTGTGACTGAGACTAATGCAGACAGCTTCTGTCACTAATCATTCCAGATGAAGGGTGTGCGATGTAAGTGCATTGTGCAATCTTAAAGCCCTCCTCATCCACAGCACGACAGTGCATTATGATCTCACAGAGTACATGGTGGAGCACATATTGTAAATACAGATTTAAAAGTTATATGTATATAAAGATATAGTGGAGTCATGTCATCCTGAGCAGAGAATGACATCACACTCCCTCTGCCTGTGTTGCTATTGCAGCCTCTCTGTAGTTTGTGTACATAGTCAGTCTGGCTGTGTGCATCTGTAGGGCAACTGAAACTGCTGTTTTTCTTATCTACATTAGTAAATTAAAGATTTATTTTAACCAGAGCAGAGCTGGTGGTTATTGAAACAGTGGAAAGACTAACAAAGATGGTTTTGTTGAGTTTTATTTTGTTTATGTCCACTTTGAATTAAGTTACAATGATATGCAAGGTAAAATTCACGTTTTGTCTATGGACCTATCAGAAAAATGAACACTTGCATGATGAGAACTACCTAAAAAGCTTTATGACCTATACAGCAGTCAGCCACCAGGAGGCAATCAAGATGTTTTGGCTTCACTTTTGGAGAGCTGTCATCCACCTCTATATATGTCAATGAATCTTCCACAGGGATTAACGTTAGCTCACAAAGATGGTTTTGGTAAGCTTTATTTATTATTAGTTTCTATCCCATTGTTTTGGTCTGAGATGCTGGGGCTCTAGTGCAACATCGAGTGTCAAGTTAATTTTCCGTATAACTGTTAAGACACGTCATTATTCTTGTTAAGATGCACCAGCCAACTCCAACTGATGCAAGAAAATAGACACATGGGCATACTGTCGTCTGTCTTGTTTAGACATGTAAACAAAGCTGTATTTTGTATCTGTTTCGACAGACTCTGTTCTCCCCTGAGAGGTTTGACAGAAAACCAGTTAAGTATAATGAAGAGTCGCAGACAACTTGTGGTCAGCGAGGTCAATATTATACACCAGAGAGATGCTTTATCGGTGTTTGATAGTTATCGATAGTTATAGAAGTTCCGTCTAGCGTCAAGTAATTGCTCAGTGTCTGCAGTAGGCGTTGCAATTGAACAGTCATCTCTCACTGGGCTACACGTCAACTGTTTCCACCGAGTGTCTGAAAAATGTTTAAAGGTGAATGTGTGAGTAACTAATTGACATACCTCACCCAGTTTGCCAAGCTTCACGTATGTCTCCAGTTTTCCAAAGCCTATGTCAGACTAGAGACAAAAAGAAAAAAGACAAATCACTGATTCTCTCCTGAGTCAAAAAATCACCTTTGCATACTTTAGTTTACTATTTTTTAAGTTTATTAAACACAAATCCTTGTGTGCTCTTTTAACCTGGCAGGAAAAAAAGCCTCATAATTGAAAACTGGGGAAAAAATTTAAGAAAGTAATATACTGATTATTTATCTATAAAGCAAGAAATCTCTGTCTGTCTGTCTGTGTGTGTGTGGGGGGTCAAATATCTCTGCAAGATTCAGGATCAGAACTGACCCCTGAGAGTTTCGAACATGCGGCTGCTGTGTGGTTTAAAAGGGTGTGCAAAACGTCGGCTTTGTTTTTGACTACCAAACATACCGTTAATGAAATTATTCAAATAAATTCATTTAACGAAATTCCGCTAGCAATTAACCACGATAGCCACCCATAGCCACGTGCGCACCAGAGCCAATCACTGCAGAAGCCCTAATGTGTAGTGATTGAGATCCTGGACCCACCAAAACATCCCTGGAAAAGTGGAACGAAGTTACGTTTTTCACTCTAAAATTACATATTACATAATCACCAGCAGTAAGACTGGACGACTGTCTGACTCCCTCACTCGCAAGACGGAGAATGTTTTCCGGTGGAAAGTAAACTGATTCTCCGGTCCCGGAGGCTGCACGTCGCGGTGATTTTTGGATCACAAACACTCGTGAGTTGGCGCCAGAAATGTAAACGGAAGAGTCCCCGTAGGAAGGCGGGAGGACAAGACCAGGAGGACAGACGCTTCTCCACGTAGGTACAGCTGAGGTAATTTTTTTTCCTCATATAAGTTTCCAAAGAACAGTTACAGTTAACTTACGTTACTGTTGTGTTGTTCCGTGTAAACGTTGCTTTGCTGGGAAAACATTTCTCTTTATAAGTGAGTGAGAAGAACCTGCTGCAGTTATCAGAACTGGTCTGACCGACACGCCCTCGCTCCGCGCCGTCGCTTATTCCGTTCAACCACCTGTAGGCGGTTAAAAAATAATGCGGAACCGGAGCGACGATTTCCCCCCTCCTCCGCCAGCCATCTGAGTCTTCTCACCAGCAGAGGAGGGTGCGAGAATTGGCCGGCTGATCCCCGAATCTCCTCCTCCTCCTCTCTCTCTCTTTCTCACGTCGTCTCTTCTTCTCTCTCGCTCCGTCATGTATGCTAGCCTAAAATATACACAGCGACTTAAATACTATGTCCTATGGTGGCTCAAGAGGCAGAATGGTCCTCCCCTAATAGGAAGGTTGTTGGTTCGATCCCCGGCTCCTGCACACATATCGAAGATATCGAAGATGAGCAAGATACTGAACCCCAAAATGCTCCCCCGATGCTGTGCATCCGGTGTGCTGACATGGTATCGAATCATTAGTTTGTCTGTTCGATGGGCTTTGGACGTAGTGTAAAACCTCTTTGAGTGGTCGGAAGACTAGAAAGGCGCTATACATGTACAGGTCCATTTACCAAGTAATAGTAATAACAGGGAGGGAAGATAAGAGGACTAGTAATTTGCAGAGAGGAAATATGCTCTGTAAAATGAGCCAAGAATCTATCAAATGGATTGCAAAATAAACAAGAAACCAATATGATTGCTAAAATTAGATTTATATGAGAGTTAGATGAACAAAAAGCCTTACAGCGGCCAATATGACCTGAAATATTGACCACTGTCATGACAACACTTTATATGCCTATGGTTATTTGCATGCGATTCTAATATATCACAGATAGATAGATACATATGTAGTAATATACTGTAGAGCACTAACCAGTGAAGCACGTCGAGACATGCGACTGAGAGGTTTGCAGAGCGGTGAGTTGTCACTCTCCAGCTGCAGTTTCTTGAGAAACTCTGGAGGAAGGCGGATGTCCATGGGCAGAGACATGCGCTTACTGACGTCCTGCAAGAAGTCAGCAGACACAGAGGTCAGAGGTCACAACAGACTGCTATCTATTTATCTGTCTGTTGTGGATGTAGAGTTTAGCCACCTGTTTAGACTGTAAATCTTCAGTACAAACATTAACATTATTCATGGTTTAACAACAATCACGACTTATGGCTACTATGGCATGAACAGCCTTCAATCTGCCATGTTGGTCCGCCATGTTTCTACAAACACTGGTTCTCGATCAGTAGTTCTCAACCTTTTTCCTTAAGGGACCCCTTTTCTATCATTTACTAAACTCATGACCCCTGACTAAGTGACATATATATTATGGATATTCTATATTATGTTCAAAACTATAGCCTACAATTAAACCAAATAGTAAACTTAATAACTGCATTAAGTTTGTATTTATTACCTGTTTATGGAACTTTGTCTGTATTATGTTTTGTAACAATCATACATACTTATTAGGCTTCTTTTTTGACAAGTTCATTGTTTTCTTGTCCCTGACGCTAGGCCATTGTTCTATTAGACAATTCACTTACTTACTTACAATTTACATTTCTAGTAAAGTTCAGGATTGAACTAAATGTTAAAATATAGGCCTACTGTGTATAATTGTAGGTTTTCTTACATCCCTTAAAATCAAGAAGCCCTTACAACCCCCTGTGAAGCTTTGATGACACCTAGCAGGGGTCCTGACCCTCAGGTTGAAAGCCACTGCTCTAGATTGGGCCTTTTGCGAGTTTCACAGCCACCGTAGTTGCTCCTACACACTTGAAAGGCGTCTTTTATTTGGTTGCAATCTGCAATCTGTTCACACCATGGCACAGTCCTGACATGAGGCTAATCGGTCAATAGTGAAATCACCTGTGTGGGTGTATCATGTGCAGGCCTTTTAAATGTTAGGAAATCAATTATTTTATTAATTAATTAATGAAGGGCTCTTCCACTAGAGTAATAAGTCAAGTCTGGGCATGTAAATGTTAATGAGACTGTTGTCTGAATGCTCTGTTGCTCTTTTCCAGGAGGTAAGTTGAACTGTCAATTGGAAAGGTCTTCTTAATGAATTAACAAAAAAGCTAGCAAAAAAGACAGTGTTATACACCAGCTAGGCTCACAAGATGTGAGTAAATGTTTTGCTTGATAGAGACGGGGGACTTTCTACCAGCTACCAAATCTGGGTGGTAGTTTTAAAAAGATCTTGCATTGCAGAACCAGTCCAAAGTCCTTAGGGTGGTTATACGCGGAAGTTGTGTGCTTGTTAGCACTGTTGTATGTACTAATGTACCATATAATATTGCTTGAGACATCCATTTTCCATGTTTTAAAAAGCTACAAAGTTACAAAGTGATTTGCTATATAGCAATTAAAGGGCATATGTTTATTAGCAGCCCAGCACTACTAGGGTTTAACAAGTACTCTGTAATGAATATCCGGTACAGATAATGTATTTTTAAAGAGTATCAAATGAGTAGAGATGTCAATATCTGTCCTCGTTAATATAGCAACTTCAGATCAACCCATATCAATTGCAGGCTTAAATTAACAATTTCCAAACAAACACAGATCATTTAGTTGGCTGAACAGATACAGATACTGATAATAGTGTACTTGCCTATTGCTCAGCTACCTTGCATTTAGAAATACCCAGACGATTGGAAAGCAGGGAGAGCTCTGATAATCTGGGATAGAGTCTATACTCCAACTGAAGAGATCTTTCACATCATGGCAACCATACAATTGTCCCCATCAATTGCTTACTGATCTATAAAGCATTGATTAACCATAACCAGCAATTTACCAGCCATTACTTGTAAACCCTTTATTAGAAAGAGGTACATACATTTCTCATTCTTGTTAAATGAAGCTATCCAGATTGTTTAAGCTCCTAGCCCTCTCACTGTCACACTATTATTTCTGTCTTGACAGCACCAATGCCTTCCTGAGCCCTCACTTCCCCCTGGCATAGCTTCACTTGACTGTCTGGTACGAGTTGTGTGGAGCATGAGAAAGACTCAAAGTGAATCACACTCACTCCAGGGACTTTTTCTGAAAGGGTGGAACTGTGAACTCACATTTCTAATAAAAAATGTGGTGGTGTTGGGAGGGTTAAAAGCTTCTGAGGTGACTCATCTCATCGAGCTGGCAGAGGTGGAAATGGAGAAATGGCTCCTGGGAAGAGTTTAAACAGGAGAACACACTATATGTGCCACTGATATCTATGTCAGGTTGACTTTTAATGTGTTTAATGTGCAGTTGAACCTAGAGAGTTTCCTGCTAATCAGAAACAAGTAAATTACTGTGGAGGAAAAGCTTGGCAGCATGTGACTACAGCATGAGCGGAAACTAAAGTGAGCCTGTTAACCCCTCATCTGTCGTATTAACCTGTGTCTTACAGCTGCACTTTGAGCTTCTGCCACTCACCTCCATGGAGAAACGTCTGTGCTGGGCCTTGCTGTGATAGTGGAGGTGGGAAGGAGACTGGGCTCCCGGTGTTGTTGGTTCAGGGCTCACTGGACTGGCATCATGAGATGGTGGACCCAGCCTGTCTGGAGTCAGGCCTGAAAGAGGAGAAACATAAACACTCAACATTTGCAGATGCGCATAGGGGTGACAAGACGAAAATCAATGGTTTATAAGGGATCACCACAAGCTTTCAGAACAGCTTAACTGATCAATGGCATACTTTCTTTAAGTCTCAACACATCATTCCATAAACTGTGTGCAGTTGTGTTAACTGTGGAGGCCATGGCATATGAGCCACATAATTTATATACTTATCATTCAGTGATACCCTGTGCCCTGCGTGGAAACATCTGTCTTCATTATGTTTCAAACTTATTTATTTAAGCTCATAGTTAGTCGCTACAGAGAAAGGACTGGAGCTGACATCTAAACATCCATGATATCCATCTGTGGTCTAACAATCCATGTGGAGATGAAGTGCATAATGCCATAATTAAACTACATTTCTCAATAAAATCACCTCTTTCTTACCTTTTCTATTTTCAGAGCTACTTCAGTCTTTCATTTTATGGACTGTATGTCATTTTTACATATTAAACAAATGAGATATAAGGTTTTCAGGTCAGTCAGCTTTGAAGGTGCTGGTTGGTAAATTGTGTTAACCTTCTACAGAGCTAGGCTAGCTGTTTCCCCATGCTTGCATTCTTTATGCAAAGATAACCTTAATGGCTGCTGGCTTCAACTTTATATTTACTGTACAGGCATAAGATTGGTTTCAGTCTTCTCATTTTACTCCTAGCAAACATATTCCCAAAATGTCGACTATGATCAGTGTGAAGCTCTGCAGCACTACAGAGCGTTGTAGTGCCTTTCAGCGTGTTGTTTTGGTTTTACAGCTGTTGACTGTTTTCAGCAGCAGGCAGCTTTTTTCAGCAAACCATTTCTAAAAACCCACTACCTACAAAGCACTAAAGGCAACCAGCTGATGAACAAAGAGTACAATGAACAATGCTTACTTCCTCCTTTTACCACACAAAGCAAAGAAAGGCATAACTGTTGGCACACAACCACAAAATGGACTCTAAGCATCTTCTTTTTAGAGATCAGGCTTATCAAGACAACAGAGAAGATTGAGACAGCTGACATGAACGTGTCAGATATACTGTGGGCGCACCAGCATAGCAGTGCAACAGCTATTCAAGTCAGTGTGGTGGGAAGAATGGACTTTGATCCTCATCATACAGCATTGTATGTGATTTGCGTTTGATGCCTGGTCGGTGTCTTTTGAATGCTACCTGCTACGAGGTTTCAGCTGCAGTTTGATCTCCCGTTTCAATGACGAGTGTTGGCCGCCTCACCGGTATGGCATGTGTGGTGTCTGAGGTGGACATGTGTCTCCATTTTATCAGCTGCCTCCAGGCGTGTCTATGTGTGTCTTACAACCGTTCCCTCCTGGGGTAAAACACAAAGCGCTTTAACTCCTTGTTTCCATGGGGACAATGGCTAACAAGGAAAGCAGGTCTTGGTGTTAAGGAGGAAACCTCCCCCTCAACACACAAACATGTTATAAACACACAGACATTAATATTAACTGCATGACCTATGGTCCCTCTCATATGATAGGAAATCTAACAGGGTTGTATCAATTAAGCACACACGCCTCATAACAAGCGGCTAGTGTATCAGTGACAATAAAAAGATAAAGGACACAGACAGATAAGGGCTGAGGTGACTCTCTGATTTTCAGATGCCTGGATGAGTTTAACAAGTCATCACAGAGCGCCACAGAGAGGCCTCTAACAGGCCATTTTGTGTCAGATTGATTGACAGTCTAAATGGACTGGGGGATGAAATGACAACCTGTTTGCTAGTCATTTGAATATCACAGCTACAGTGCTCCTTTGATCTCCCGATGCTAATTATGGTCAGTAGGAGACACTGATATGAGCACACACACATATACACACACACACACACACACACACACACACGGTGTCTGATTGCTGTGAGATATGAATGGATGCCTGCTAGACGTCTTCTTACGAAAAGGACAATCCAATATGGTGCGCTACATGATATTTTTGTAGCGTTTCCATCTGAAACTGTGGTTAACAGTGAGAGAGGCAGAGAGGAGTCATGAGAGAATTTATCATGGAATGTGTGTTGGGGAATAAGCTTCACAAATAATGGCAGAATCAACCCACAGGCAATGTTTGAGAAAATGTTATATGACATTTTCACAGAGTTACACACATTTAAACTTACAGTCTGGTCAATACAGCCATCAAGCAACTTAAGTGTCTATCTCAAGGACAGACCCCCATTTCAAAAAACTTAAATTTCCCTTTTAGACATCCTCAGTGGCATAAGCCTTGACGAAAAGTGCTGTGAATACTAAACAAGACTAAGAATCTACAGACATGCTAGCGGCTCTGTGAGGCTGTACTTAGACACAGTAAAACTTGGAGGTAAATGCTAACATCAGCATGCTAATATCCTCACAACGACAATGGTAACATGCCGTTGTTTAGCAGGTATAATTTTAACCATCACCACCATCGCAGCACTGTTAACATGCTAACATTTGCTAATTAGCACTAATGATAAAGAGATAAAGTTATGGGATTACCAAAGTTATTACACTTCATCATGGGGGAGCTTGAAAAGTCTACCAAATTTTATTGCAATCCATCCAATTATGTTTCACTCAAATCAACAATCAACCTCATCGTTGTGCTAGATAAAAAGTCAGCGGATCACTAAAATCAATAGGATTCATCCACTGGGGACCATGGATGTTTGTACCAAATTTCATTGCAACCCATCCAGTTGTTGAGATGTTACAGTCTGGACAAAAGTGCTGGACTGACCGTTGGTCCCATATTTTACTTACTAACATAGCTGTTTTTGTGTCTGACGGCTTGAAACGATGCAAAATGTTTAAGAAGTTTACTTTAGAAATCTGTTACTGAAAGAAAATGCTTTCAGCACATTTAATTCTGGTGAAGGCAGTTTTCTTTTCTTTTTTTGGCAAAAAATCCATAATAACATTTCAGCATATTGCACTTCAAGTAGTCCGAGAAAAAAGTAAACTTCTGCACCTCCTCTTGGCTCTGTTTTCAGACTTTGGCCAATCACAGGTTATTTCACAAAGGCCATCCTTTTGGCTGTTGTACAAATGCAGATGCACATTCATGGCCCTTCAGATGACAAAAACCCTGATTCAGTGGTGATACATTTCCAACAACTCCTTTGTCTGCACCATCCTCATATCCCTCTGTTAGACAGCACCTCTGAAGCCCGCGGCACTCTGCCATGCCCCTGACAAGTCGGGTCTTAGTGAGGCTCAAGTCGGGAAAGCGGGCCCCACAAGGCATGAGGTTTTGCAGGGCAACCAACTCCTTCTGCTGCCGTTCACACAAGTTGATACGAGGTAGCAAAGAGAGAGAAAGAAGGTTTTGCATTGAGTACGTTCAAACTGCCCACCCGAGCTTTAAATATCAACTGTATGTTTCTGTGAGTCAACTTAAGTGTGTAACATTTAGGA